GCAGGTCTTCCCATTGAATATCCTGCTATATGGGACATAAGATATCATTTACTTTTAAGAATTAGACTTCTATACAGATGAAGTAGGCATCTGCTTTCATAATGACACCTGTATAGGTACATCCTTTGAGTCCATGACCCCAGGCAAGTTCTTTCATTCTTCAATGAAGAGAGAATGCAAGATGACTGTAGTCTTAGCTAAGAGGCCAGGAAAAGTGTAAGGTCACGTGTAATCTTCTGTATGCTCTTTTATTTAGTGACAAAATAACTCTTCTTAGTGACAAAATGACTCCAGTGAGTGTTCTGTGTAATGTAGTTTTCAAGTTTCATCTGAAATAGGAATTCAGACTTTTTAAAAATAAATGCTCATGTCTAAATGTTCAGATAGATTCCTTTTGAATCTTGTATTTCAAAGGTATTTTGTTTTGTATTTTTCCACTAGGATGATGTGTTTTAGAAGATTTTTTTTCCTTTAGCATACAGATGCACAGACATGATTTTTCTTACAAAGATTGTGAGTGGCAGATTATATCAAGACCTGTGGCAGAAATAGAAATGTGTATTGCAATTCATGAATGTAGATTATTTCAGTGGCACCTACCAAGAATGAAATTGTTTCAGAGTTTTACAGAGTAGCTCCCTAGGATCCAGTCCAAAATTTTATGAAGTGCTGCTCTGCAGGCTTCCAATACTTCCAAGTATTTATGACACAGTCCTGTCACCACTCTTTTCAGGACCCTAATTTCAGTCAGGTCATTCCCACAGATGGAGGTAGTTGACTACATTTGAATGTGTATATGGATCTGAATATGAAGGAGACAGTAAAAGCAATCTGTCCAGTATCCAAAACTCCTTTGAGGTGTTGGTGTGTGGTTGTGTTGGCAACCACATCTGTTAATTTTAGAGTCTTTTTAATAAGGATGTAGGGTGTGAAGATAAGAGGAACTGCGAAGGGTGGGAGGCGCATTCTTGTGTGGTTCAAAGTGCTGTAGCGCTTTGTTTCTCAGCCTGAGAGGGCAGAGCAGGAGCATCAGAGGTGGTACTACTGAAAATACATAGCTCAAATGCGGGGGCCGTGTGTGTGTCCCACAGTGGGATAGATTTAGTGTATAGACAGAACTTTAAAGGGTGTGTAGTTTTCTATTGTATAATAGCTGAAAAGAAAAGTAATTTTGAAAAACTTCATGCTTAGTAAGATCAAACTTCTGGAGCTGCGAGAACTGTCTGTATTTTGTGATCCCCTGGTTTCTTCTCTTATTAGCATGGTAACATCTCACATCTCCAGTTCCTTCAAATAGTCACATCCTTTCTGCAGCAGCTGCCCACTCCCACTAGCCTGCTTTATTTTTTTTCCACTGTAAGCAGATGTTCCCATTTTCTTTCTTGTGTATACTTTCCCTTCTATTCCAGTGCTCTCCGCAAATGAAAATTTAACTGCATATTTTCTTTGATTTCCTTTTAGTCTAGATTCTTACTTAACCTGTTCAGGTATTTCTATTCATTCCCTCCAACTGTGGGATTTCTTTCTCTTTTTACTTGTTGCAAATAGAGAATAGTTATGTTTCTTGGGATTTTGGGGGCTTTTTTTTTTTTTTTTGCCACTTGTTATGGTTTAGGAGCGGCACTCCCTCGTTCATTGCCCCTTACAACCTTCAATGGGAGATAAAAAAGGCAGAGATCATGGGTTGAGATAAAAGCAATTTACTGGAAACAGCAATGAGATAAGAACAGTAACAGCAACAATATTAATAACAAAAGTTTACAAAAAGAGAGTGATTTGCAGGGAATTGCTCACTGACAGGGACAGTGAACAAAATGATGGACAGACCATCTGCCTCCATGTTTTGTCCCCAAGCCCAACACAATGAAAAAAATGGCAGACAGATCATCTGGTCGGGACCAGTGTTACCCCACCACTGCATTTGTCGCTTGGTTCCCTGGCAAAGGAATCCCTCCTCCTTCCCCTTCTTTTCCAGGAAGCAAGAGAGAGACCCATTTCTCTCCTCCCTGGCCATGAGGTGACATGGGATTGAATTGCACTGTGTCTTGCCATGCCCACATGGTTCCACATAACCCCTGTCCTTGTCCAAAACCAGGACATTGGTAAAGGAGGCGAAAATTTCTAGAGGCGTTAGGAGGTATCAGAGTTTTCAGTGGGAAGTGCAATATTTCAAACCAGCAAGAAAAGTAATACATGTCCTCTGCTTCTTATTGCTGCCAACTACATAAGGACGTGACCTGAAGTCTACTAAAGAAGTATCATGTAAGTTTGCAGTAATTTAGTTTATTGCATAATTGTAGAACTCTGCATACCATTCCTGCATGAGTTGGCTAGAGTAGACACCCTCTATGCTTAAATGTTTTTCCTTAGTGTTGTGATGCCTTAAGTAGTGCTGTAACATTGTGTATAACCCCCTCCTGGGTGAAAATTCCTGAAGCTATTAGCCAATTCATTGTTTCTTGATTTGGAAGTAGGGAATTAAGTAGTGCATGTTTACTGTTAATTCTTTTTGCATGTTTGTATTATCTCAGTTATAAGACTCATAATGAATAAAGTTTGCTTTCTAGTGCTGAAAGAGGCAAACTTTTTTTTTCTTTTTTTTTTTTTCTGCCCTTTTAGCATCCAGTTTGAGGCTGTAAGGGCACACTTAAGGAAATGAGTAAATTTAGATAATTTAACTACTTTTTGTTCTGACTACAAAGGAAATTATTTTGTTTCTTGTAAAGTTCCAGGTTTCTTTGCAAAGTTCCAAGGTAGCCATGAAGAATTTTATGGTATTTTCATTAAGGCATGAAAATTGCTTGGAACCTGTCCTGCAGGGATGTACAGGTCTTCTAGGAGAATCTGCAATTCTAGCATTGATAAGACTTTGAGGCAACTCAAAAGTCATGTTTTTAAGAGTCACAGTTTTCAGTGTGTAGTTGAACAAGTTAAGAAATTTGAGAGGTCTGTTAAAGTGTATAACTGCAAGAGAAAACAGTCATGTGATTCTGGGATCTGCAGCCCCTTGACATACCCTTCTGGGTTCAGTAAGGGCTCTTCTTCAAGCATAATCAGAAAAAGTGAACTTGTAGTGGTAACCTTTTTTTTATCCAGTAGCTTTAATGTCATTCAATTCCTTTGGTGCCTGAGCTATAGAGTTCTCATATTGCTGGTGAAAACCTACTTTTGCTTTCACATGTGTAGTAAGCAGGGTGTGTAGCTTTTCCTGGTACAGGAGAGTGCTAAACATTCTGTTCAATGTGCTAAAAGAAATTCAAGGCCAAGTGAATTTTGTGGGTAGACTGGGAACAGACAAAAGAGGAGGATTGTGGCTTTGTAACCCGTTTTCCAGGATGCTAGTTATCAGTCCTTCTTCTAAGGACTGCTTTATGTCTTAGCTTAGTGATTTCATTTTTGCAGAATACAGGTTCTTTTCTGCACTGTGGCATGTTCTCAGGAGCATTGTGCTGCCTAGCAGGTGTAGAGCATTAAAAGTGATTTAGGAGATGATTCAAATTTCTCTCTCCACCTACTTGGAAGGGACTTGAATCTGGTTCCTTCAATCTCTGTGTGAGGTCTTGAATTCCTTATCTCTTTGGTTGTATCCTAGACAACAAAGATCAAAGACCTCAACAGGTCATTTAGTCTGTGTCCCAATCCTTGGCAAAATTCATCGTGCTTTTGAAAACATTTTTTAAGAATTATGTAGCTCTTAAATAGCTCTCTTACCATTTTTGGAATTGATTTCAGCTTAGGAAAACCCTCTTGATAATTCATGCTTATGTTGAGTTTTGTCAAGGATCATCACTGAGCTAGAAATTTTAATCCTATGTCTCCTTGGCAGGACTTCTCATCTATGCGTATCTCCTTTGGAAGTCAGTAGCACGTTATACTATTGTAGCATATTTTCTTCTCTCAAATATTTGAAGCATGTATAACTTAATTTGGAACAATCATACTGTAAAGCTATGAAACTAATCTCATTTGTGAAATAATATACAGAATTAGCTAAACAGTAGCAATGTATTTGGTAAATAGCATTTGACAGTGAAGATTTGTGCTGCGGGAAGGAAGAAGGAAAAGTTAAAAAAAAAGAGTATTTTGTATCATGTGTTATTGTAAAATAATACAATAACAGATCATATTTAAGGAAAGATTTTGTGTGGTTTTAGCTTTTTAGTTTGTTTGCATAATAATTCCTACTAATATTTTATCAAGCCTATGTTGTTATTTTAAGTGAAATTCTTATGACAGTGTGTGAATAATGAGAAAGAAATTCAGCTTACACAATGTATTTGGGAGATCCTATTTGTATTAATTATTTTCTATTTGTATGAATTATTAAAAGAAAGAATAAGCCAAAATCTCCAGCAATGTTAATATATGTTTATACAATCACTTTTTCTTTGTGGTATTTTGTAATAATGTGATTACATCATATATTTAAAAATACATCTTTTTGAGGAGGGCAAGAAAAAAGAGATACACATATATATACCTACATGCTATATAGGTATATAACAACTCAGCTGTATTCTAAGCTAATGTTATTTTTTAATAAGCTGGTGATCTTTGATAATTTTGGTGCATATAGTTAGACAAAAGCAATCACATAAATAGATAGATGTCTCAGTGTTGAGACATACTGCCATGTTTTTTAAGATCTGTTATTGTTAAAATCTAATTCATAATCCTAGCCTGGTCAGGGTACTGGAGCATGTTGCATGATATTTTAAATATGATTCAATTTGTACAATTAACATTAGCATGTTTATTCAGGCCCTATATATTAAAAAAAATAAATCTAGAAGGCTAACAAGCTGACAAATTTGACTGAAGAGCAAAAGTATTGAAATATAACAAAACATGCAAAACCTCTCAATTTTTTGTCTGTGTGTTTTATGATCTTTTCTCTGTGAATTGACTATGCTTGATAGCAAATATGCTTTCTGAATTCATGAATGTTTCCTTTAAATATTAAGAATTAACCATGATTGTATTTGTGATTAATCTGGCAGTAAAAAGAGAGGAAGAAGATTTTGAAGAAAAGAAATCCATTAAGAAACGCATCAAAGAATTAAAAGTTTTGGATCCTAAGATTGCACAGAATCTGTGTAAGTAGATTCTGTTGGTTATTTTTTTTTTTTTTCCTCAGAGTAATGTATAAATCTTCCATAAAAATGCCTTTCTGTCTTGTGCGATTACCTGGTAACCACTTATTGTTTAAAATGTGTTTAAAGATGTGCATATTGTTTTAAGCACAAATATGAGTTTACACAACTGAAACACTTAAAAAGACCCGAGAAGTAGTTAAAGATTATTCCTTGTTCAAGACTGTATGTACTGAAGTGCAAGCACACAGCTATGTATCTAATCCATCTGTATTTTCAATATATCCATCAAGGAATACTGGATACCCCCTTCTCCTGCATGTCCCTGCCCCTTGTCAACAAAAGGATGAAAATGACTGCAGCGTGTCTGCCCATCTCATGAACTTTGTAGAAATTAGGTGATACTCAGTATTATGGAATAATATACAAAGAAAAGAAAGTTTTGATGGAGAGGAGTTCTAGGAAGAATGGGTTCCTAAATGCCAGCAGAGATTAAATAAGAAATAACTGTATTATGGTGACTAAACAAAGAGTGCTTATAAGAACATTTAACAACATGTTCTGTTTCTGGGGCTTGGTTTTGGTTTGTCATGGTGCTTCTTTCAGAGAAGGTTCTGACAAGACTATTGAAAAAATTACAGTTGTCACCTTAGCACAAAATACTGTAATAGCAGTGATTCTTCTGAAGAGTAGACTGTTTATGGAAGTCTTGTGTGATGCTGGATGTTGTATATAACAAATGGATATGGAGAAGGCTGGAATTGAAAGAAAACAGTAATTAAAAATGCATTAAAAATTGTTATCTTACCTATATTATTTGGCATAGTGTTTGTTAATCTGGAGATGCTATGACCTGTTTTGCTGCTGTTTTTTAAATAGAAGCAAGATAGTTCTTGTCTTGCTTTCTTCATTATTTGTGGAATCTCTGTTTTAGCAATTTTCCTTGGATCTTTCCGAGTGCCTTATGAAGAGATCAAAATGATGATATTGGAAGTAGATGAAACACAGCTCTCAGAGTCCATGATTCAGGTAACAAAAATAGCACTTAAAATCCCAGTATTTCAAGAGAAGCTTCTCAGTAAATAGAAATGCATAGCTAAAAACACCCCTTAATGTAAACTTTAGGCTAATAATTAACTGCAAGAATGTTCTTTTCCTGTGAACAGCAGATTTTTTTTTAATTTGTAATGCTAATATTTTTATGAAAGCAGCTTGTGTTGTTTTTGGCTGGGACTAAGTTAATTGTCTTCATGGTGGCTGATATGGGGCTATGTTTGCATTTGTGCTGAACACAGGGTTGATAATACAGAGATGTTTTTGTTATTGCTGAGCAGGGCTTGCACAGAGCCAAGGCCTTTTTTGTTGGTACTGCCACGCTGGCAAGGGGGCTGGGTGTGTATGGGAGGTTGGGAGGGGACACAGCCAGGACAGGTGACCCCAAATGTCCAAGGAGACATTCCAGACCGTAGGACATCATGGTCAGTATGTAAAGTGGGAGGGAGAAAAAAGAAGGGAGATGGAGTGGTGATGTTTGTCAAGTCACCATTACATTTGATGGAGCCCTGCTCTCCTGAAGATGGCAGTAAACATCTCCCAGCCCATGGGAACCAGTGAATGAATTCCTTGCTTTGCTTTGCTTGTGTGCACGGTTTTATCTCATCCTGTGAGTTTTCTGACTTTAACCCTTCCAACCTCATCCTTATCCCACTGTGGGTAGAGTGAGTGAGGGGCTGCTTGGGGCTTGGTTGCTGGATGGGATTAAAGTATGACACAGCTGAATTTTTCCATATTGTCCACACCTAAATAGAGACTTTGTCTTGTGTACATATGATGTTTTGTTTCTTCCCTACTTACCAAATTTTTCTTTGCTTTGCTTTATCTCTGTCTTATCTGCACAAATCTCTATTTTGGTTGTTTAGTTTGGGTTTTTTGTTGTTTGTTAGAGCTGTAACAATCCAGTATCTTGCCCTAGAGCATTTACAGCATTCACCATTTCTCTTCCATGGAGTTTATTTAGGTAGTGTCTTCTCTTTCAATATTACTTTTTTAAAAAACAAAGTCAGTATGACTCTATGTGGAGCCAAAATAAACTGGAAGTTCTTCTATATACAGTGATATTTAAGGGTTGAAAAGCTGAAGAATTTAATGAAATAAACACAAGAGAATCATTTTAGAAACATGGGAAAAATAATTTGGAGGGGGTGTCTTGAAGTCATTTGAGCCAAGGCTCTCAAAACCAGGTCAACTAGAGCACTTTGATCAGAGCCTTTCCCATCAAATTTTTAGTATCTCTGAGTCTGGAGACCCCATTGGCTTTTCTGGAAACATTTTTCAGTGTTGAATACTTGTAGTAGAAAATGTTTCTTTGTTTATCTAACTGGAATCTTAATTGTGATAACTTGTGGTCTTTGTTCTTCTATTGCACAACTCCAAGAACAGCTTAGTTACACCTTCTTTGTACCACTTAATTGGGTATCTGCATCCAAGAAGGGCCCATGAGGCTTTCCCAGAGTTCAACAGAGTGACTTCTCTGAGTCTGTCCTTGCCTGTCATGTGCCATATTCTTGAGTCGTCTTGATGGGCATCAGTAAATTTGAAAACATCTGTCTTTTGAAAAATTATCTTTTTTTTGGACAGGACTCTGGCGTACTGTGATGAACTTCAAATTATTCCTATTATGGCTCATAAATGTCAAAACATAATATAGCAATAATTGATAATTACTGTCTATCTACTAGTAATGTGGTATAGATTTTAGATAGCTAATCTCTTCAGCATACTTTAAAGTGTGTTGCAGACTTGGGTGCCAGTCCCTACTGAAACGTGAAAGAAAGGTGAAGGTAGATTGGTTTTTTAGAAACATAATCTATTTACAGGAATGTTGATTAGTTAAAACAAGTACAGGTATCAGGGTCATAAAATTAGTTGTTACATTAAGGCTCACTGAAATTCAGGTGTGGCTTCTACTGCAACACAGGAACTTGTATTCAGATGGGAAAACAGGACAAATCTGTATTTCTGTGGTTTTCCTGCAAAATGAATTTCCACCATATCGGAATATCAAAATAACATCCTGTCTTATCGCACAGGAGGCTGTGCAATGCTCAGCATGCTTTTCTTCCTGCATGCAATTTTGCCCTCACTTCCCGTGACTTGGATTTCAAAGACGTTTAATTTCTCTTCAGCTATTTGGACTTCACTTTCCCTTCTTCATTGAAGAATGAGATGTTTCTCTTAAATATTTGAAGGAGCAAGCATGAACCATTATCTCCAGTGACAGTGTATATAATCATTGTATAATTCTCATTCTTTTCTTCAGGGATGCAGTTAATATTGGCACTAAAACTATTACTTTAAGGTTATTAGGATGAACATAGTTTACACTTACAAAATTTTTTTTTGTCTAATTTGCACTTAGATCACTTTTTTAAGGTTTTCTTCATGCTCAATGGCAGCATGATGTGTATCTTTATCTTATTTTATTTGGTATAGCAGTGGAAATTCTCTATGGTAGCATGAAAAACTGAGAGATGGAATATGCTCTTCTGTTATGCTCTGCTTAAAATCTGTCTCAGGTAGTCCATCCTTGCTCTGAGACTCTCTCATGCTATTTGATCTTAGCACTGTTTTTCAACAGTTAACATTTAGCTTGTTAGAAAAATTAGGCAACAATTAAATGAAGCAACCTGTATAAATAAGTACTGTATATCAAAAATATAAAAAACTGTTATTTTGATAATTTCTATGTGTGTTATCTAAAGAAGGCAAAATTTATTTTTGCATTTAGACTCTGGTAAAGAAAATAATCAAACCAATAATGGGTGGTTAATTAATGGCATACTTCTATGTGAAGATGCAGTAATCTAAGAAGAGAAAATTTATTTTCATGGATAATTTTTTTGCTTTTGTATCATTATTTTTAATTTCTTCTGTGGACTATTATTTTCATTATAATTGTGTATGCCTTGGGATAAAGAATGCCTAATTTTCTGTATATTTAGAACATCTAGCACACTCTATCCCCACTGGAGCTTTGCAGTAGGCATAGCTAAAAATATAATAGGATATAATTCTTTGACACTATACTGATAATCTTGTGGCTCTATTAATTGGTATTGGCAGTAAATTATGTTGAAATTCAGTGTATACAGTAACCTCTTTATGCAGTTGGCATCAAAATTGAGTCCAAAGTGGTTTCAACAGTGGTTGAGCCCTTTCGTGTTTGCTTTTGGAGGGGAGTGAACAATTTTATTTAAGAAAAGGGTAAGAGAAGATGAAGAGCCAAAAGTGAGAAATTATATCCTACAAGAGTACAGTGATATTAGCAGCTGCTGTGATTGTGTAAAAGTCAGTGGAATGGAATACAAGTGATCATGTGCACAATATCCTGTATGAACACAGTCATATAAATCACTCAAGAACATAGGCTGCATTTTTTTGCCAAGTGATTAATCCCTTGAAGACCTAAATCAGGTGGAAAATTCAGTAGAACTTAGGCTTCAAATTTAGTTTCCAAGTTTAGATGTAACAATATTTATCAAATGGGTTCATCCAAATTGCTTGTTTCTGAGTAAAACAACCCTATAATAACTTTGAAAAATGGACTAAGTTTGAACTTGAAAAAGGACTTAAAACACCCATCTGTCTTTGAAAGTGGTAAAACAATGTGCCCCATTGCTTCAAAAAGTTGGTATGCACCTTCATATATACTTTTAAATAACTTTAAGTATTGAGCTCTATGTCTCTATTTCTACCTTCCACATACTATTCAAGTATGCATTATGACCATGCTATGAAAATATGTTCCATGTATTTCATCATTCTGAGAAGAGGGAAATATGGCCATATATGGCTAATTTTACAGCCATATATGGCTAATTTTCTTCATTCATACAGGTTACCTTAGAGAGTATGGTACTTCTCCTTTTCAGAAATTTCTTCCTTTCAGCAGATATTTTTGTTTAGTTGTAACTGTTTTGTTCAGTGGGTCCTAATAATCACTGTTTCTGAAGTTGGAAATTTGTTCTTAATCCAGCTCTTGTTATGCTTAAGAAATAAAATGTATTTTCTCTCCATCTGTCTCCATTCCTCGCTTCAGTTAGAAATTAAATCTAGCACTTCAAAATGTAAAAACTCCAAAAGCCATGTTGTAATCCAAAGACTCATTGACTAATTATTGAAATATTTCCCGTGACACAGTCAAAATTCTTTCTCCTGCTTATTCCTTGTTTGATATTCAAAATGTGTTTCATCTGTAGCTGCTCAAAAGCTTTATCTGAACACCATAAAACCTGCTTTGATATCAGCTGCTCCTTCTGTTTTGGTTGCTTTTTTTTATATTCTGATGCTCAACGTTGAAAATATTCATCTAACACTTGACTGTTTTTGGTTTTTGAAAGTTTTGTGGGCAGTTTTTCTTCATATGAAAACTATTTCTGCATCAAAGAATAGCATTTTAATTTCAGTACATATTAAGGAATTGTATTATATTTAGAGCTGTGTTTGGGAATGCTGGGTATCAAAAAAAGAAATAGGTGTGTTATGAATTTCTAATTTAAAATGTATCTTTTACACTTTGTACCCTTTCATTTTTGCTCAGTGTTACTGATTTATTGCCAGACATCTTCATCCATAATTAATAAGTGTAGTCTGTTTTACAAAAATATTTTCCAAATGTGAGAGTAGTAAGGATATGTATGACTGCTGTTCCACTAAAATTCAGTTTGATCATATCTAAATCAAGCTCCTAAAATTTAAATTTACATTATTGTTTCAAGCATCTTCGTTCCTGCATTTTTAATAGTTTTGTCTTTTCTTACCAAAATCCTTATTTGAGTATGGACATTCTGTTGAATCAGTCTACTGATTTAGGGATATTTTTCAGCTACTACTGAAAAGAGTAAAATTTGTTCTTCTTAAACTAAAGAAGTGTGTTAAGCAAAGCACAGGTATGACTTTTTATCTGCCTGGCCCCAGAGAGGTAATTTTTATATCTTAACTGGCTAAGTTTCCTGTTTATGAAGGAATCAGAATCTTTAGTGGGTAAAATTAGTGTTTTTTAAGACTTTCAGATGGAGATTTGGCTCACTAACTGAAACAAATTCTTTTTTGCTCATTGTATATCACCAAAGCTATTTACTTGAGAGGTAATAAAACAAATGTTGGCAACCAAAATGTCTGCCTTTTCCGTCAAGTAATGGGGAAGTTTGTCTTGTTTCTTTCTTGAAATATGGTAATAGTAGTGGAGTGGCTGTGTATCCTAGATTGGCTTCAGTGTTGAAAGGATTGAATCTTAAGTTCAGGAGAGTGAGCTTACCAGTAGACCAAAGAGTGTTTTAAGAAAGGAAAATCTTTCTGGTGTTTTTCCCACTGTGACAGAAGCTTAACCAATGTGCAACCAGAAACACAAGAGTCATGATCTGAGAGACACAGCAGGCCTTAGGGACTCTGGCTATTGCCTGGTAGTTGCAGCAGTCAGCTTGGGAAGGGACAGAATTGAGCTACTGATTCAAATTTTATACCACAATTAAGTGTATGAGAAGCTTTCTATTTCCAGAATATCCAAAAAGCCATTTTTAGCCAGCCTAGCAGAAGCTAATTAGAGTGGGGTTCAGGTGCCCAATTGTGAGTGTCTTTTTGTAGATAATATGTGTCTAAGTGTTCAAGAAGCTTCAGGGAGTCAGAGGATTCTTCGGGGGAACAGATGAAGGTGAAATGTTTGATTCCCTTACCTGTGAGACATTCACTTTATATGTGTCCAACCTCCCCATATTGAGTTCAGAATTCAGCTGAAGCTGAATTTCACCTCTGATTTACTACTTTTAGCAAGTTGTCATGCTAAGTAGTAGTGTAAGTAAGTAAATAAGTGTAATGGGTTTAAACTTTTGTTTTGAAATGCTAGAAAATTAATTATTCTTTTCCAAAATACTTTTTATCTAGCATTAGTAATTCTTGCCAGACTTTGGGTGGTTATGTTATACTTAAAGTTCCTGTTTTGTTTGCTTTGAAGTGTTCTGTTTCCATCATGCCTATCAAGCACATTCCTTCTTTAAAAACTCTTTTAAAAAAATGCTACAAAAGTGTGTAGAATCAGTGTCAGTATTGCAGTATTGCTGGCAGTATTGCATCACTTATCTTTTACACTCTCAGTTACTTTAATTTGTGTGTTGCTATGTACATTCTGCTGTCTTCAGGAAAGAGTGTTGTCTTTGGACTGTATGGCAGTAATGCATGTGTAAACCTGTTTGTTTACCATAATAGAAGCAACATTGAATCTGAGATTTTTAAGCCTATTTTATTTTCCTTTACAGAATTTAATAAAACACCTCCCTGAACAAGAGCAATTGAATGCATTGTCCAAGTTCAAGAATGAGTATAACAATTTGTCTGAGCCAGAGCAGTTTGGTGTTGTGGTGAGTTCTGTTTTATTATCACTGGTTGGTTTTTTTTTTTTTGTCCTTTCTGGAAATACAGTGTTAATATAATATTATAGAAAAAAACCAAAACAGTTGCTTCTTCCTAAAAGTGAAGGGGTTCCAGACTGGGAGAAGATTACAGGTGCTGCCATTCAACTGGACTTTTGTTGGACATATCCATGGAGGTGAAAGGCCTGATTATTGAAACATTACTTCTGGAATGATTTTGAAGTCTCTTTGTTTAAACAAGTTATTTGTATTTGCAAAAGAAACCAAACCAAAATGATAAAAACTTTGTTATTTTCTGTGGCAAAGTTTCACTGGGAGATACAGAGCTATTTTTGAATTTTCATAGCTAAAATAGTTTGGCCTTACTTTTGTTTGCATTAAAAAATCTGAACTTTTTTAACTGAGGTTTTCTACACTTACATTTTTGTTTCTATTCTCTATGTAAATGAGAAGAACATAATGTCATAGTGATCATGCTGACCTATTCTTCCTCCTGCCGCCTCTGTTTTATACCATGTCCTGTAAAGAGCATCCCTAATCACTTTTTCCCTTCCCTCTGGAAAGATAGGTTTGTAGTATCTTCCAGGTTGAATTCACAAAGGAAGACTGGAAGTGAAAAAAAGAAAATGCTACTTTCAGAGCTGGCAGTTGATGCTTTTTGTGGAAATACAGTTTGCATCTAATTTCTCTATAGCTCATAATTCGTAGTTGGTCATTACTTCATCCAGACAAACACAGAGTAATGCTATGTAGTTTCCTGGTGCATAAATCTGTACAAGGCTTTGATTTTTCTTGTCCATTCCTGGAGCTTAAACCTAAGGTGGTTATTCCTAAGATTACCTTATCTGAGGGAATTCCCCATGAGGGAATAATCCTTACTCAGTTAGATGGAACTGTCAGTTGATGAGAAGAGCTAGACCAGTAACAGTGTAGGTAGAGTTTTGTTGCATCTGGCCCAACTTTTCTGATAAATTTGTGTTTAAAAGTTGAGGCAATGTGATAACTCAGAAAAATAAAATAAATGGACAAAATGATAAGAGTTCTTATATCTCAAAAATTTCTGGAGCTTATTTTCTGAAGGAACAGCCAGATTCCCACTAACTGAAAAGTGCAAGTCCTTGCTTTTCCTGGTTTTCTATGCAAAACATCAAAAAACAAAGTCCACAAACAAGACCAAACCCCATCATCAGGAACAGTTTCTGTCATGTCACAGCTTCTATGCATGTAGTAGAGGGGATTTGAGAGAACAAGTGACAATGTTTATTACATGAAACATTTTTCATTTCTGTTCCAATGGGAGAAAATTTGAATAAGTCACTTTCTTTTAGTCTGAATACGGAATCCTATCCATTTACTTTTCATCAAAGTTCTTCAAGCTCCATCTGGCACTCCTGGATATTTTCTGTTATTGCTGTCCACGGAGTGGGCTGAGAAATTCTTCCCATTTCTTAGGATGCCACTGATAATGCTGATGTGAATCTTCACATTATTGCTGATTTTGTTGGTTTTGTTTGTTTTTCCTTAAATATTGGTTTATGTCTTAATTTTTGCTGTCTGTTTTAAATGGGGAGAATCAAACTTGAATACACAATGCAAGGCTTGAAGTCTTTTAGATGAGTAGTGTTTTATAGTTATGTTTTTTTAGAGAATTAGGAGATTCCATGTTAATTTTCTCTGAAGTTGTGATTAAAGGAACAATTAAACTATTTGACTCCTAAGGAAGAATCTAAATAGTGAATAAATGGCTAATTACTACTTGTGTGATAAATTTTTTTTCATCATGGAAACCCATTATCTTTCAGGCTTTGAATTGAAAGTCAGGATTCGATACTCTGAAACCAACAGCGAGACACTTAGTGAGATATTGGCTGGCAGTGACTGTTACAGTATTGTATGTTTCAAGAAAAGTCAATTAAATTTTGTTGTTGGCTTAAAGACCTTGAGAGCATGATTCTAAACAGTTCAGGTTTCCTTCATGAGTGTTGCTTGTGGTTTTGGGTTTTTGTTTGGGGTTTTGTCTTACGGTTGTGAGGATTTGTTTTCTTTGAATTGACCCTATGAGTTGCTTTTGTGGTTTCTGCCTTCTCTTTTTTCAGTTATTTATCATTTTTATATTTTCTGTTCATTCAGCAGTAAGTATAAAATAAATCCTTTATAGCCCTTATCTTCTCTTCCAGACTTTGGGTTTTCTTTAGATAAACTATTTTCCACTAGGTTCTTTCTTTCACTTACTCCAGGCCAATGTCTCAGAGCACAGATATTATCATGTTTTACTGTGGAGCTTTGTTTTTGGTTTAGAATTGTGGGGTTTTTTTGGGGGTGGGAAGGGGACAGGGAGGGGCTTGTACAGATTCATTAACTATTTCATGACAACTGCATTAATTCTGTTCATCTTACTAAAAATTTAGTTTGCTATTATTACCTTAACTTGATGTTATATTGAATGTTGTATTTTCTTGCTCAAATTCATGGGGTATTTCAAATTCATGATGAGGTTTTCATCAAACTTGTGCTTGATGAAACATAAATACTCAATTGCATCTTGTTTTACCATGGTTCTTGTTTTGTACTTGGTTTTACTTACTGCAATCAACTTCTCCAAAACTTCTTAAAAACTTCCCTAGCCTTCATATTGTTTTCTTGGTAATTTCATTAATTACCACAGAATTACAGAGTATTCTCAGTTGGAAGGGATCCACAGGGATCATTGAGTCCAGCTCTTAAGGGCATAGCCCTTACAGGGATCAAACTCACAACCTCGTCTTTACTAGCAGCATGCTGAATCTTGAATAAAACTTGATAATGGTGAAGATTATCTTTGTGCAATACGAAACCCACTGGAGATGAATGAGGTTTCATCTAGATGTTCATCTTGGTAACTGTTGAGAGAGATTGTATTTTGGAGGTTTTTACTTTTTGTACCTGGTTCTTCTTCTTCAATGGACAGTATAAATATTTTGTTGCTTTAGGATTTTTAGCAGTGCTGATTTGTTTTGCAGGTAGTTCTTTCCTACTAAGAAAAAGGTATTTTTTTAGAGAGTATTTTTTCATAATTTTTGGTGTAGTGTCTGTCATCATATCAAAGAAATGTTTAAGGAGTAGATAATTTAGTAAATATTAATCTAATTTGTTTTCAGTGAAGTTGATGTAATAACTACTAGTTAGATTTATTGATCATGACTGATACTTTGAGTGCAGTAATCGGTTTAATGGATTTTTACTGAACTATTACCATACCGCTGGTTAACATCTTATTTATTAGGAAGTTGGGCACAAGCATCTTCTAGCTGTTCAGAGCTTGAATGTTCTGAATTCTCATAGAATTCCATTCTGTGATTTGAGGTACACTTGTTTATTTACTGTGGCTGTAATTCTTTGTGTTGTAAAATAGTCCTAGACTATTTCAAATTTATTATATGCTTTGATATCCATGAATGCAATTCCATTTAAGAAATCACAGTTTGATGCTCTTTATCAGGGATCCCTGTGCCTCTAGGTCTGACATTTCAGGGCACTTATCGAGGCACAGAGGTGCATGGCAATGTTTAGTCCCATATCAGATGGTTCCAGATCTTTGCTGCACCTCCCCTCCCCTCAGTATCCTGTAACTGCAGTTCCCAACTTTATAGCACCACTCATCTGCCTCTCCTCCCTCTCTTGTCCACAAAGCAGTGCTAAGGCTTCAGGCCTACCCATGACAACATATTTTAGCTGTTTGTTGCACTAGGAACCATTCCAAAAAGTAGTTCTGAATTGATAATGCTCCATGCATATAGCTGAATCCAGTAGTAAATTCCAACATGAGACAACTGGAACAGGTTGCCCAGGGAATGTGGATGTCCCATCCCTGGAAATTTTCAAAGCTAGGTTGAATGAGGCTCAGAGCAACCTGGTCTGGTGGAGGGTGTCCCTATCCACGGCAGGGGAGTTGGAACTAGATGATTTTTAAGATTCCTTCCAACACAAAAAAATTCTAGGATTTTATGTAGCCTCATCAGTGCCTGTAATCCTTAGTGGTATAAAATGGTCGTGGTCCATATTAAATTTATTATGTGGTTTGAAATCTATAAATGCAATTCCATTTAACAAATCAAAGTTTTGATGTTGTTTATAAACACTTCTAATGTAAAAAGTTTCTGATACTTCACAGGATGCTATTAGTAGACATTTGACCTCAGGTGTATGCAAGTGTACTAGCATTTTTACATATGAGAATACTGTCTCAAGAGCCACATGTGATAGCTCCTGCTGTCTTTCTTTTCTTGTAATCTGAGACATTCAGAAAGATCCCATATTGTCTGGTAGTGAAAAAAAAAAAGAAACAGATTTTTCCTTGATCACTTATATTTGCTCAAAGACAAAATTGAGGGAATTACAAAATATTGTTTCAGAAATAATTAATGTTCAGACCTTGTGAAATTCACTGACAGCTAACCCAAATAGAATTTGGCAAGCAATCCTCATGTGGCTTCACAGCTTGTTCACTGATGGATGTGTTTTTAATGAGTTCGTACCAAAGGAAAAGATTTCACTAGAGTAAATTGAAGATTAGAGTGAGGCCTGATGAAGGCTAGTTTGTCTTACATAATTCAGAAGACACTTAAATTGATCAATTCCATATTCAGCTGATAGTTTCACCTGTATATTCTCGTTGAGGATAACTCAAAATGTATTAATGTTTTTTCACTGTTGTCTGGAAAATATCATACTATCACTGTGTCTGCAGAAGCGTACTCTGCCTTTCATAAGACTTGATGCTTGGACAGAGCCATACCTAGTGACATTTCAGTCTGTTTAAAATTCTGAAGTGCTGACGTGCATCTGGGCTGTGAGATATTTTGATTGTGTTAATTTCTATCTGCAAACCTTATCTTCTGTGTCTTCTAGATGTCATGTGTATCTGCTGCTCTGCCTTGTCAGTGTTCTTTATCGGTATTTCCAGCCTTTCCAGGAGTGTTGCCAAAAATTAACTTTCTTTTATATGCCAT